ATAGTTTATTTTGCTGCTCTCCTGAAGTTACCAGCTTCTTCTTAATTAAGGGGGCCCCGAACCCTTGGCCACACTTGGCTGCATTTAAACTCTGCAACACAGAGGTTAGTGGAGATGAGACATACTGATGGCCTATCCCCTCCCCCAAGGAAGTGTTGTATCCTCCACCAGGAGCTGTTCGTGACTGAGTTTCCATCATGCTGAGCTGGAAGGGGAGAAGGAAGGTCATGGTTCAAATGTCACAGATTCTCACTTTCTTACTGAGTTTTAGTAGATTTTCTTGAATAATAAACATGTTTCTTCATGGGCCTTTGCTTAGGTCCTTAGGACAATTTCCAAAGACTCTAGATAGTTGTTTTAAAAATAACTTTTGGCCCGACCAGTGTGGCTCAGGGGTTGAGCATTGACTTATGATCCAGGAGATCATGGTTCTGTCCCCCGGCGGGGCACAGGCCCGGGTTGTGGGCTTGATCCCCAGCAGGGGGCGTGCAGGAGGCAGCCGATCAATGACTCTCATCATTGATGTTTCTCTCTCTCTCTCTCCCTCTCTCTGAAATCAATAAAGATATATTTTGAAAATAATAATAATAATAATTTTTGCCAGTTATGCTTGTTTCACTGGGGAGCAATTCCACAGAGCTTCTCATGCCACCGTTTTGGATGTCACCACCCTGACATGCTCTTTTTCTGACGTAGTAACTAAGTTTCTAGAATTTGGATCTCAGCTTGCTTCAAGCAATCATCATGCTCACGGAGTAAGTCTTCTTTTTAAAGATTTTTAACTGGAACTTTAGAGACAGAGGAAGGGAGAGGGCAAGAGAGAGAAACATCAATGTGAAAGTAACCCATCCATGGGCTGCCTCCTTCACACCCCCACTGGGGATTGAGCCGCAATCCAGGCACGTGCCCTGACCAGAATCGAACCAGCAACTCCTTGGTGCTTCGGACAATGCCCAACTACCTGAACCCACACTGGCCAGGGCACATGCAAGGGCCTGAGGGGGAGACAGAGCCCCGGTGACATGAGGGAGCCCCTGGGTCTGGGCATGCTTGAGATTAGCCCTATCACCTGCACTTCTGCAGTCATATAAGTCAGCGAATGTCCTTCTTTGCTTAGCTAGTTAAAGTTGAGTTTCTCTCACATGAAACCAAGAGTTATAAATAATATCCTGAATGTCAAACCTTTAATAATGTGTGAATAAATAATAAGCACTGTGGAAAGTTTGTTCAACAAAATTGGTATCTAGGGTCATTTTTATGTGATCTTTTTGGTAGTTAAATCTCATTCCAATAATCGTTGGGCTCTTGGTGCTTGATAAAATATATAGACATCATTTATGGTGATTCTAATTGACATTCCTCTTAATAAGGGTTTTAATATATTCCTATTTGCCAATCAATATTTGTTGATATCCAAAGGGTTATTTCTAATGAGGCCTCACGGTAAACTGCTAATGCTGAGGTTTAATATTAATAATAATAGAGGCCTGACCTTAACTATAAAAATTTCTAATAAGTCAGGTAAACCTTCCTTTTCCATTAGCCTATGGAAAGCTCATTAGAACATAAGTCCGCTGTTTTGCCAACGAGACAGCCAGTGCAGACCTCTCCAGCGAGCCAGAGGAGGGTCCCGGGAGACTGCTGCAGCTCTTGATGTGATGTAAGAAATCCAGGTACCTAAGATTGTTGTTTACTTGGTATGGCACTTCTTTGAAATATTAAAAGATGGAACAAGTTTTTTGGAAATAAATTGAGTTAGAAAACTCAGAGACTTCTGGCCAAAATGGCGGCAGAGGCCAAAGTGGTGCTCGCCCCCTCCCATCACCTCAGAACTGCGACTAACCCACAGAACCCCCGCCACTCGGAGCCACCCGATGGCCGGCTGAGTGGAAGCCCTGCACGCAGGGCATGGAAGGAGCGTCCACACTGAGGCTGGCAGGAGGGGTGGCGATGGGAAGGGGCTGTTCCCACACCCAGGTGTGACAGACCAAAAGCAGGAGGGGTGGTCAGCTGTGGAGGCCCCCGAGGAGCAAGGGGTCCCAACCCATGACCAGCCCCCGTCCAGCCCATGGCTCTAGTGCTAGGAAGACAAGCGCCCTTAACTTCTGGCTGTGAAGCCAGCGGGGACTGAGGCTGAGGGAGACGGAGAGACGCTGGAGCCCCAGGCAGTTCCTCTCAGGGGGCCGCACATGGACCGCCTCAGACTCACTCGCTCTGGGCTCCAGCATGGGGGTGCTTGAAAGGCACCAGACACCTACGGGGAGGCACCGAACTGCCCGGCGTCAGGGTGAGAGCTGCAGGGGCAGCTTTCTCCCAGACAGAAGTGCCGGCAGAGGCCACTGCTCCTTTTCTGGGCCCCCCAACAGAGCCAGCAGACGGCGCCGTATCTGAGTCTCCACCAACCTGGCTCACACTGTTTGCCCCACCCTGGTGATTCTCTGAGACCCTGCCCCACTCAAATTTCAGGCCCACCCAAGCTGTTTCCAGTGGCTTTTCCATAGGAATGGCCTGTCTTGGATCATGCTTCAGAAATTCCTAAAATCTCTCAAACAAGCAGCATCTGGCCTCAGTGAGCCCCACACTTCTAAGTGGCCCTAGCCCAGCACTAGTGCAGGCGGCCTTGGTTCACAGATTGTCCTCCCCTGGACACCTCCAAGCCCAGCACAAGTAGCAGCCACCTGCAGGTTGTCCTGTAGCTCATGCCAGCCAGCCCTGGGCAGGGCGCAGGCGGCACCGACCTTGGCCTGCGCCTCCGGGGAGGCCCCAGAGCCAGAGCCTCCGGTGGGCAGCTCAGGTCATGTCAAAGCACCGCCCGCCACCTCCACAGCAACACGCTCAACAGACAGGCTCCGTGGGCACCAGAGATCTGCTGGAGTAAGTTCTGCTCTGTGATGCGAATTCATGAAACTCAATTATTTCCCTCACTAATGGAAAAGGAAAGAGTCCTCCAGGATCAATTTTAATGAACAACTTTCATTTCTTTGTAATTGGCATATTGTTTTAAACAATTGAAACTTCTGAATTACCTGAAAGTAGCATGCAGCTTAGAAAGCTTAATCGAACCAACTGAGGTTTAGTGTACATCAGTAATGGTCCTGCTCTTAGGACCACTGTTCACAGAACTACGACAGTAAATGTCCCCTGGCTTCATAAAGCTTAACTTGGTGAGATGTAAGCTCCAGTGATTGTACGTGAACATCTAACAGGCTTGAGCGGCAAAGGCCTGTGCTCTGATCATCCTCATGGAAAAATCCTACCCGAGAAAGGGTTTCCTCTACAGGTTTGAGGTAGATGAGACCCTTCAGAAAATGGGTAAGACTGTGCTTCTAGGTCAATTGGCTGACCGCCTGTAAAAGGTTTACATTTTAGGATTTCCATCTTCTCTGTGCTGTCCCGGCAGCACACCTGATTTAGCTTTATAGTGGTGAATTTCAAGGAAAACATCACCTAACCTTTATTTCAAATTACCTTGAAGCTCAATTCATCTCCCTGATGCCCAAAAATGCCAAGTTCATAATCTGTTGTTATGATATGACTCAGAGAAGAGAAATGTCCTGTCAACCACAATCGCCATTATTTTTAGGACCTCTATTTTCCATGATCAAAAGCAGGTAAGGAATGCCAGCACCCATGTCATTGGAAATGAAATACTTGCTTAGCTGGGATTAGTGCCAATTTGAGGTTGTTTTTCTTACTCCCATTTTTATGTAATTAATCCCATCTGACAACATATATAAAGGTCTGTGGCATATGAAAAACAGGCCATTTAATGAGTGAGCACCAACAGTACATCCAGGCCTTGTTCTCACAGGTTCTGTGTAAGAAATGCTAAAAATGCCATCTGCCTTTTAGGGTTCAGGTCAACAGATGGTAAGACTTTCCTGTGTGGATGTCTCCCAGGTACCCCAAAATCAAAATATAACTCCCATTAAACTCATCTCCCCTCTCACCAAAACAGATTTCTTTCTAGTCCCTTCCATCTAAAAATAGCTCAGCCAACTGTTTAGTGGACTAACCATAGGAACTGCCTGTTTTTTGTAGGTCATAAACAGCTGAATATTGGCAACTTCAAATAGATCAACCTTTTCAGGTCAGAAACCTGTGTAAAATCCTTATTACCTCACTTCCCTTCAACTCTTACAACAAGCTGATCGTGAGGCCTGGTAAATTCTATTTCTCAGGCAGGTTCTGCATCTCTACAGCAACCACTAGAGCACAAGTCGCCATTGATTGGCCTCAGCAATTCCACTGTCCACACTGCAGTGGACCAGTGTGTCTCTTTAAACACAAGTTAGATCGCCCCACTTCCAGAAATCAGTCAGCAGCTCCTCACTGCCCTGCACGCAGGGAGCTGACTCTCACGGCTCACAGGGCCACGGGGCCTGCGCCAGGCCTCAGCCTCTTCAACCCCCCTCACTCTATTTTCTGGTTACCACACTTTCTTTTATTTTCTCAAATATGCTCCTTGGTATCCTCAGTTTTGATATGTGTTCAGTAATTTTTCTATTTAGGATTTTTAAAAATCAAATTGAAACATTCAATTCAAAAATTCAAAATCAAAAGGTTGAATCAACACTCTGGACTTTCCTGAATTGTCCCCTGGCACGGCTACATCTCGTAGCAGTTATTGTTATAAGAAAAATAACAACAATCTAAGCTAATATTTACTGAGGCTTAAAGATGTGCCAAGCTGACGGAGGAAACTGAGGTGTAGAGAAATCGGGGGGTTATATGAGGTTACATAGCTAGTAAATGGTGCCATCGTTAGAAAGACCCATAATTCAAAGCCAGCTTTAGATGCTGTCAGCCCCTCAATCTTTGAGAAACACAGGGACCCTCTCTCTACACCATCAAGACCAAAAGAATCAACTACAGAATCCAAGAGAAACACATTTTCAGCTGCATGTAAAATGTTTCTAAATAAACTCCAGTTAATTCCACCACATTTCCAGGAGCAATTCTCCCCCAAGCAGCACCTTATTAAAAGCAGGTGTTCCTACCGGAAGAAAGAGTCTCTGGGCAGCACAGGGTTTGAATAATTTCTTCCATTCCTGAGGGCTTCCAACTGAAAATGTGATGGGGTAGATTCTGTGCACAAACTTCTTTGTATATGAGTCAGGCCACTGTCGTAACTGAAAAACATGGAAGTCAAGGGGAGGGTGATTAGATCCCCAGAAATATGGAAATCCCCTAAAGCTTCAGAATGGTCAAATGAAATTTATTCAGGCAACTTACATAAAAAGTCTAACTTTATCACCCAAGAGCATTGCTACGATTAAAAAAATAACATCCAGAGGTGGCAAGGGTGATGGGAAACCACATAAACACTGTGAGGGCGGTATAAATTTGAATAAACTTTCAAGGGAAAAATTTGGAAATTGGTAAAAACAAATCCTCAAAGACAAAGATACAGAACTGTCACCAAAACCTCTTTTGGGAGGAAAAATACACATAGTTGGGAACAAACTAAATGCCCAAAATTCATTAGGATAGAAATATACAATGGACTACTGTGCAGTTAGAATAAAATAGGTCTATATGTGCTGACATGGAAATAATGGTTATGATATATAGCTAGGTTTTAGAAAAACAAAGTGCAAAAAAATATATAATATGCTTGTCTTATAGGGACGATATATGCGTATATGGTTTATATGTAGAGAAAAGTCTGAACAAATGTGCACCAAAATGTTAAAAGTGGTTGCCTATAGAGATGGTGATGGTGTTTTTATTTTCTAGGTTTATATTTCTGTATTTTTTAGAACTTTTACTATCTTTGCACATATTAATTTTACAACAAAATTATTTTAATTAATAGACTTTATGTTTTAGAGTTTTATGTTTACAGAAAAATTGAGCAGAAAGTACAGGATTCCCATATACTCTC